GCTGTCCCGACTGCGGCGTTTCTCCGCATGACTGTCAGCATCTATTGGCTTGCAATTCCCGACTAGGCACCCAACTCAGGCCAGCGGACCTTTGGCTCAGGCCGGTGGAGGTCTTGGATCTTCTCCGTATTCCAACTACAACCAGTTTGGACTCCGTCGGGGACTTCTGATTCAATAAAGGCTACGACACACACACACACACTAGCATCGTGACTGCATGCTATAAATACTGCAAAGTCCCGTGTACGAACTACCCCTTTCTGTTTTTATCTCTGAGGATGAGTTTGAGAAGGAATCTGAAGCGTCAAACAAATCAAGTTCTTATCCCAGAAACCAGAGAGAAAAGTACGCTTTATTTTGAACGTGGTATCCAAAATTTTCAGCAAAAATTATCTTTATTCACTAAGACCACAGCATAAATTAATAAAATACGTAACAAATCGAGAAGTTATCATAAAAATAATGTTTTATGGATACATGTCCATATCAGCTTCCGGATTTCACTTTCTTTACGCGTAAGGTAGCGTATTGGAAATGGCATTACAGAATTCTGATATGCCGATGCATGGCAGGATATGTCGGAAACCCCGCAGCTATTAATTGAGGGAGGGGGGTGGGTAACCTCATAGAGAATTCAAGCAGAAAACTTCTTAATCAATGTAAAGTGTTGCTGTAGTCTAATGTCAGCTAAAAAGCACAGGAATTGCTGGCAGCTGAATAGACCATTCGGAAGATAGGTTTAAAAATTAAGATGTCTTTTTAAGCAAGGATGAAAAAAAACCGGAGCCTTGTAGAGAATGAGAGGGAAAATGCAAGCTTCCATAAATTCCCAGATGAAGACTTGATGTCTACTTCTTCTTCTTCTCAATTACTTCCTGGGATTTGCATTGTCGATTTTATCGGCAATAAACATCTCTGTCAAGTGCGCGGAGTTGACAAGTGGCATCAGGAGAGTGACGGCGACATGTAATCACCACCCGGCACTGGTGCCGGACAGTTCCTTTCTTTTGTTTTTTACCTTAACCATTTTACCGAATTCCACTCAGTAGGTACCAGTAACTTATCTTTAGTAACATAGCTCCAAACTACTATAAAAAACGTCTTTTCTGGCAAAACGAGCAGTCTAACGATACTCTCAGCCGCCCATTAGAGGTATTTCACAATTTAATACTCAGTCGTCTGTTTAGTTGAATCTGAGCCAAGCAAAATTTGGATTTTTTGTTTCAGGTTTGGCCAAAGCTTCGGGTCCTAGCTCGCTCTTCGCCGCAAGACAAATATATGTTGGTGGACGGCATAATAGGCAGTCATTTGCACAATAATCGTGAAGTGGTTGCTGTGACTGGTGATGGCACAAACGACGCACCAGCGCTGAAAAGAGCTGATGTCGGTTTCGCCATGGGCTTAACAGGCACTGATGTGGCTAAGGAAGCCTCCGATATCATCATTACAGACGACAATTTCACCAGCATCGTTAAAGCCGTAATGTGGGGTCGCAATGTTTATGATTCAATCGTAAAGTTTCTCCAGTTTCAACTTACAGTTAACGTTGTCGCTGTTGTCGTCGCCTTTGTCGGGGCCTGCTTTATCACCGTAAGTTACCCTTGACTATTTAACAGAAAGCGGGTGCCGAAGTTGCATGTCTGTTTTACTAAAAGTAGTACTTAATACAATATTTGTTGTCTGAGATTATTTGATAGATTAGTTATGATCTAAACCAATGTATTTTTTAAAAATTTCCGGTTTTATTTAGCAAAATTCCATCCAGTAACTACATACTGTTGTCGATGCATTTCTTTGGTGTCACCTTTACATTCTCTTCGTTCCCGGTGCTTTTCGCACATTTTGCTGTGACTGTGAATGTTTTTGTCCGCCGATACCTGCCACGTTGCTTTTGCCTAAGGATGAACATGGAATCTAGTCACAAAAGTGATTCACCCTTACCTGTCTAGCCCACTGATGGCTGTATAGGACAAAATATTAAAAATACATTAAAGGTTCCTTGCGCTCTTTGGCAAGCTGTTTACAGCCAATGAACACAGCCAGTCAGTGGTCGATCTTAATTGTCACTCCTCATGCACTTCTCATCTGAACTACATATTTCGATATAAAATGCACCAAGTAACATCCTGACGACATTTCGATTGTATTAAAAGGGATACATTCAACATATTTCAGTACAACATGCCCTTCATAGTAAAACATCGTGTTACCTTGATACATCATATTTGATAATCTAGAGTTTTATTCTCAGACTTATGGTAACCCTTTAATATGAGGATTATGGAATTATTTTCAAAAACATTTATCGAGTAAGTAT